TTATAGAAACGCATTAAAAACCATTAATAACGATTCTTCCTCTATATACCCCCTTCCATCTCGTTCTATCTCTCTTCCATCAACTCTCCTTTTGTCTCTCCCTCTCTCTTTTCCACAACCTTACTGTCTCTTTCTCCCCCACATCAAACTTTGCCTTGGCTTCTGTCAAAGTTTCAAATTCTTTCTGGAAAGCCCTGAGACAGAGCCCCACATCCAGATCTTGACACACACAGAGTCAGATTTTGTCCTCATTCTTTTTTTCACTCCCATTCTCCCCCCTGAAGTTTGGCTTTGAACTCCACAGCCAAAGAAAACTGCTCCCTCTTTTTTCTCAAAACTCAGCGTATCACAACTGGAGAGTGTTTCTTAAAAACACACAACAGAGGCCAAATCCCAGCAAAATCCCTCCTCCCACAACACTTCCCCAGTAAAACTAGTGATTTTATTTCTAATACTCAACATTCTCAACACCTTACCATTTCTCACTGTTTGAAGATGTACGTACACCTTCAGTTTAAGTGTGGTAAAGAATAACAAAATAAATTCAAAAACATACCATTCAGTCAGGAGACAACAGTATCATGTAATCTGACTCGACACCATGAAGAAAAGGATGTTGGGGGTTGAGTTATTGGCAAGACCAGTATAGCGGTGGAAACTGTTTGCAGAGCATTGTTTCATGGCTCATTCTTTGTTATGCATGTAGCATTCTACTGCTGCAAATGCTACTTTCTACAAGCTTTACGACGTAAGAGCGTTTACCCAATGTTGTTCAAACGCATCCTCACAATCATGTGGGCGCCTCTGCGGGTCACATGGGAGGATCTTTAAATGTTAAATAAAGGTTTTGCAAACATTGAGGGTCACATGGCAACAAAGTATTTGTTGGGAGTTAATAGAGGGTTGTTCAAGCATTGTTCGCAGTTTGTATAAAGAGGGAAGAGGTAATCCAGAAATAGAACAGAGGTCACAGTATATGGCCAATACTTTTGATACATTATATGATTATATATGCACAGATATAGAGTTTATTTATATAAACAGGAATACGGTTAGATATAGTTAAATAGACAAATACAGTTGGATGGATAGACAGACAGGTGCTCAGTTAGTTAGGAATATATATATATA